GGCGTTCACGAGCGACTGAAGGTTCCAAGTTCAGTTCGACTATCTCCATAACCCCATAATGACAGTAAATTTTATTAATAATGCAGGTATGTTTCTTGAGTTCGAATGATATTTCATGAAATCAGATTTATTTGCGAAACGAAACATATTGGGGTTATCAACAATCTCCCCGACATGCTGTTACAGTATATATTTAATTATTTCCTCTATCATACTACAGGCCGAATATTGAGAATCATAAAGTATTGTGTAACAAACTCGGTTGAATTGGTTTACTTGTTACAATCTGCAAATTTCCATAGTCGGGACGTTAAGATGTCAAAGTACAGTTCAAATGGCATATCGTTTAATTTACTTAGAACATATAGTTAATGCTTAAACCTATTTTTAGACATATTTTATTGCCTTAATATCAACTTATCACTCCGTTCGCCTACAACTCGTTCATTTCTTTTTATTGTAGGGCATAAATAAACTCTTTTCAAATGAAGTTAGATGAAATATTTTATATAATAAATTAAGATGAATTAATATACCAACGGATGGTTTAAAATCATCAACTTTGGATTTGAAGAAAGAACTAAGTACAATCACTATTCATCAGACAAACAATTTAATAAAATTTTACTAGCGGTTAGAGAATTCCGAAAATGAGTTTTATTTTAAAACTGCAAAACAGAACAGTTAGAATTAGCTAAGTCACGATGACAAGGATACTAGTCAGTAAAACATGTGATTGTAAAAGTACTACTAAATAATAAATGACATTTTTATAGTCCATTTAAATTTGTTGAAACAAATAAAAGAAATTTTAAAGTGTTGAAAATAGTCAATTACGAGGCTGAAAACACACAAGAGAAAAACAGACAACAGAACACTCATCCATAGCACTAATATAAGTTAATATTAAAGACGTCATGCTAAGTAAGTGAGACCCTAAACGAGTTGAAAGGACTTTATGTGCAGAACTGACATTCAGATAACCTGTTTATCATATAACAACATGATACTGTCGTCCATATATTCGAAATTAAAGTCGTTATAAATGTGACAGAACTACACCAACTACATGTACTTCCTTCCGAGCTTTCTTCAATACATCATTGAAGGAAAATGGGAATATCGGGCAACCAAGTGTTGTATATACTCACTACCTAACGTGTTCATATACAAACCCTTTAAGTATCTGAAGACGCTTATTATGCATACCCTAATTTAATAGTCAATACCAGCGAACTTCTGTGTAACGATATACATGTATATATGTTCAGAGCTTATATTGACTAGGTAAGTTAATAATTAACTTACGTCAAATAAATAGTACCACAATTTTAGATTACCTCAATGTAAGTGAATAATAATATCTACTAAGATCCTGTTCAATTCATTTTAATATAGATTTTAACAGTTCAATAATTTTTTAATAAATTAGTTCCTTTTCCTAAACAATCTTACACATCTAAGATAAAAAGTCAAGCGAATTGATAGTTTAATTAAATTACAAACAAAAAGAATGTCATGGTTCAACAGTAACCACTTACATATCCACTTGATCAGCCAATTTTGGCATCACTAAGTAATATTTATGATATTATCCATCAATGTTTTATAAGTTACTGGGTATAATCAGAATGAAGTATCACAATCAGTTGGTGCTTATAAACTTAATTACATTGACAAAAAAATACAGACATTCTATTGGCTACCATGTATATGTTTATTCAACTGCACAACATTATCACTGATTCGGTAAATAAATCTAGAACATTATAATATTAAACTAAAACCAAACATCTAGTTAGAATATCAAATATCCAATCAGAAAGATGTTTATTGTCGTAACTTGTTATTTAGCTTTGAAAAACTATGTGCTGAATTTAAAATACAAAATAGGCACATTCTCCTATCAATTATGTTTCTCATAATTTTTTTATCAATATAAGTTACATAGTAATTCAAAATGAGACCAATTACGCCACATAACAAATGTATGTATACGTACACACTATTCCCATATCAGCATTGTGTAGTTCTGATTAATACCTTTACAGAGGAACGTTATAAAATAACCAACGTAAGAATTTATTATGCACCTAATCTGAACTACCGAAAACGAATCGCCAAATGAGATGGTATACAAAGGAAAAATGTGTTAATTTATTCAAGTCTGACTCAGCTTCGACGAATCGTAATAATCAAACAGTACGAAATCCAACTTCAGTATATAACTGGCATCTGATTTCCAAAAATTAAACACAAGTTGAAGTGTGTAACTATATCAAACATTGGTGAAGACAAACTCTAAAGTATAATTTGTACTTACAGTCGAGAAACACACTGCAGATATGCTTGTATTGTCGATCGAGACGTCTAAAAGATTCGATTTTCCAAACACACTTACCAAGGAAGATTATAGCACCCGTATACATTAAACGAGTGGGTTTGATGGTAGGAAATCAACCCATGAAAATCTTGGCTATGAAAGATTCACTTCCGGAAGTATTTTTGACGAAATCAAATAAAAAGTAAGAAAGTGAGTAACCCTAACTTTACTTGATGTTACCAGTTCAAATCAGTTTCCTCTAAACTTTGACCGATTCTCTTTGACTGGAGGGCTTCCAGTAGATCGGTTTATTTCCTTGGTAAACCTTTCGGAAAAACGTCATCACAAGATTTCCTTATCAGGAAAGAAGTGCGTCATTTCGTATCAAGGAATACGGCTTCAGTATGAGGTCACCATGTCTATAATCCAATACCCAGCGATAAGTAATGATCTGGTCAACACATCTACAGTCAAGACTAAAACCTGCTGTTTTTTCAGTTTTGTTTAATCAAGGACTGACTAAATGCTAAATTATTGCTTTCCACCAGAATTATCTCAGTTGTTGTTACTCATGTATCATATAAGCATTAGTGGTGACAGCTGGGAGTTTATCGAAAACATGACAACACAATACTGCCGCTATGATATTTCTTATTAGAAGGCCGTATATAGCACACTCTCGACGTGTGACTATGTGAATTGAACGTATATATATATATATATATATATATATATATATATATATATATATATATATATATATATATATATATATATATATACGACCTATGACAACATCATTATTTACAAAAAGTAGCTTTCCTTCAACTATCTGACATGACCAGTTGTTTCTCATTAAAATACCAAGAAAGCAACTGAGGCGTAAAATATCAGAAACTACCCTTGTATTTGTAAACTTCTAGAAGGCAAAATCTCCATTATATCTTAAATTTCTAATCAAAACTAGTGCAACAATGAGTTTCTTAAAAGTAACATCCCTCATCGGCTTATGAAATTAATCAATAATTACCACTCAACTACAATTTATATTCTAAATAAAAATGAGGCCTCGACTAAGATGTCTTAGTTTACGATGAGTGGCGGGAACCTAGTTCGACAAACCTTCGTTCCTGAATCTAGCTTCAATTACGTGGTGTTTCTCACAATCATGACATTCCCAGATAATCCTCAGAAAACGAAAACTAATAGACTGAATAAACAGATTAAGATTTGTATTAATCCTGCCGATTATCAACATATGAAGGGTACGTTTGTGGACATGTTTTTCTTCCTTAGCAAACAAAGCCATAAAACCTAAACCTTAAGAACCTCAGTTGTTCAACATGAAGAAATTAACCATTGTCGTTTAACAAGGCCAAACTATAATTTATGGACGAATCAACAAGATATAAGATAACATGTCTTGGTTTTTGGCGTGAAGTTTATTCATCTATATCGCTAAATAGAATTTTGTAATTTTAACTTATGTCAGTTAGTGATGAAAACCTTAAACATCAAATGTAAATTCCAATTCCTCACACTAGTTTATAACAATCATTGAGTCCTAGTTAGTAGGTGGACATTCTCAAGGTTACTTTGGCGTCACTTAGAGGTCGTCCATAAATTATAGTCTCACCTTTAACAGGATATTTACGAAGTTTAATCGCTCTAACCAAACTACGTAGAATATTGCGGTCATCTGTGAAATTGACTAACCAGTTATTTAAACAGCCGAATCCTCTGAGAGAAACTTCTACCTGATATTTGTGCTGATGACGTCGTCCAAACGAACGATGGAAGCTCCAAGATCAAACCATCCAGCTCAGAGAACAAAATTCTATCAAAATCATCCACCTGAACTAAAAATTTTCACTATCTCAACAGGTAAGCTTGAAACGCAAAAGTACTCAACTGACAAAAATGTCAGATATTCACAGCTTACCAGATGCCACCAGTATGATTTTCAATTCGAAACAACTGATAGAAAATATACTGATGCGACTGAACGACACAGTTTAAGGAATTAACATCCGATATTCTCACCCAGACTAGAGAATAAAAACATTACTGAAGCAGTCCGAATGGGTAATCGATTTTGAGTTAAGTACGAACGTGAATATCGGATTGGCAAAAATTCATAGATGGAGGAAAGCCTATCAAAGTTTGAAATATTGTGGCCTACATATTTAAAGTTGGCAATCGAAGAGATTCTTGGTAGCACAATCTCATACACCACTGACGTGTGACATTTCATTCAACTCATTTACAAAGTAGGTATTAGTGCACATGGTTTGAAATTAGTGAAAATAGCCGGGTTTCCTAAACCAGGGTAAATAAAGCTAGACCAACCATTAAATTTAGTGGTTGAAATTTGGAATTCGTAACTTCAGCCTCCGCTCCTTGAAGTGAAAATAAGTATGGGTGATAATATATGAAGTGACTTTCAAATAACGTGAAATTTCGCCATACAAACAAAAGGCCTTTATATGAGATGCCATGACTACACACCATACAGATATTAGGTTCGCTTTATGACAGTTCGACATTGAATAAACTTCAAATATACACCACCGAAACAATTAGACGCTACACCGTACATACACGAAGATAATAATGAGACTAGCAATCAGTAATCTTAAGCTAGTTGGTCAACCATAAAGATGAATACTGAGACAAATCAGCAACCAACCAATCTTTTATATTTTCAATCTAAGACAATGGTAAAAACACTGAGAAGTAACCATAAGTAAGGACAAAGTCACCCGGGATAAAGTATGTTTATGGCAGGTACATGAGAGTAGGTCGTGTGAAAATTCTAAATTCATGTATTCATTTCCTTTTTCGCTTGTTTTTCTTTCCTTGGAAAGTTTGTTCCGTAGTACTCGAACTTGATGTGGCTGGTCTTCTTGACCTTACCACAGGAAGAGCCTTCCCCAAATATGATAAAAGGGATTGGCGATTTGGAAACCTAGAAGCTGAGAAGAAAGAAGACACTATTACTGTTCATTTACGGGACTGCCATCATCGTTTTTCAAATGGACGCGGACACGCCATTTGTTCATAGGTTCGAAAGCATCCCTTTCCTTAGGATGGACCTGAAAATCATAAAAGGCTATAAACATATGAGAATAACCTTTGTCTCCAACAGATAATCGAGAGAGAGCTTCCCCAAAATCATTGTTACTTCCGAATGCTTAGGATTATCAACACAGTTTTCCACAGACAATTTCCTCCCTTGGGCTCTTGTACGACGATTATTTAAATACGCAGGGTAAACGCAAACCCATCGTTCTTTTGCAGAATATGGTAGATTAGGACTAAATGGAGAAAGTAAAGGCCTTTCCATTATTTAAGGTACGTTGGCGCGACCCTGAGCACAAAATACCCGCTAACCAGAATGGAGGCCTTGAAGCTTGTAACATTTGTATATGGTATCTAATAGCAAGCTATGATTCGAATAGTTCTAGTGACTGTGGACGAAACAGATTAAACTTTTGCTTAATGGGTTTATGTTTCTCGTAGCAGTGAATCATTGATGCCTGCAGAAACTCATCCCAGCGAATCTAACTAGACAATGATAAATATTATGAGGTTGATTGTATTTAGTGGTTTGTCTGGGTCGCTCTAGTACTTGACTCAGGTCATTCTTTTTAGGAGATTGATGTCATCTATGGGCTCGGGTGAATGATTTTCTCGAGGATTACATAGTATGGTTGTCGTTCGACCAAGCATGTATCCAATAAAACTAATAATATCGTCATCAATGTTGAAGACTTACAGAAATACTTATTTTGAGCTAAGTGAGAGGCAAACCAGTGCAGACATTCGACTCCATATGTGCTTTAAAAAATGTGAATTTTTCTGAAGTGGAGGGATTGAGATTCCAAGGAGCCTGATGTATACAGGACTCATATGTACTATATAGTTTCAGTTTCAGTTTGGGGAGGACAGGAGGCTTGATGGCCTATGTTAGTTCTGGCAATGGTGGTTTTCCAGTTGATCCAACTTTCTTTTGAAAGAGTCGACGGATGGAGCCTCAACCGCGTGCTGAGGTAGTGAATTCCACTCGTTGATGATTCGATGGGAAAGTCGACAAGTAATTTGTTCTCGGCTTGTGAACTTTTTTGGAGTGTCCTCGTAAAGTCTGTTTTGGAGGACAAGAAAAATGAGGGTATATTAGGTGCAAAATTATCACTAAGCAATTTGTAGACTATAATCAAGTCGCCTCTAGTTCTGCGATATGACAACGGGAAAAGGTTCAGCTTTGGCCGGTCGAACTTCATACGGAAGCTTCGCTATTTCGGGAATCAACTTATTCGCCGTTCTCTGAACCTTTTCCAGAAGCTCACTGTCTTTTTTAAGCAGGGGCTAGCCGCTTGTATGCAGTACTCAAGTTTAGGACGTACGAACACTGTATACAAAGTCAAAAACGTCTTAGCGTCGACATGACTAAAAGCCCTACGTATTGACCATAAGGTTCTAAAACCTTTGGCGGCTCGTGCACGGCAATGTGCAGTGGTCTTTAAGTCTTGGCTAACGATGACTCCTAAGTCATTATATGTCTGGACGACAGGTAGCTCAGTGTTATTCATCGCCTATGTATCTGTGCCTTGATGACCGATATGCATCACAACACACTTGGAAGTATTTATCGGCAACTGCCTTGTTTGAGACCATTCAGATAACTTCTTCAGGTCATTTTGAAGTTCTAAGCTATCACTCTTACATCGTATCGTTTTCCATATAATAATAATAATAATAATAATAATAATGATTTATTCTCAAATAACAGTTTGTTACATGAGGCATGCCAGTTTACAGGCAAGATCAAATTGATACAAATGATACAATATACACTCTAATAAATTACATCGCTGGGTTGATAATTTATAAGATATGAATGTAGATGGTTTTAATCAGTACCACAGTTGGCGCGCTTCATGAAAGTTGCGTTGCGAATGTGCGACTGATGGTCAAGGATAGGTCCATTGAAGGTATGGGCTTCTAAAAATCGCAACCTTATTTCCTTCTGGGATATCCAAGGCTTTAAGGATGGTGCAGGATGAAGTCACCAGTTCCATATCTCAAGGGGGCTGAAAGAGGGAGCAAGTAAAAGAAAGGACGAGAGGGAGAGTAGCCAATATTCATGAAGGAATGCTTAAGGTATGATTACTCAGTCTAATTTTCCTTTATTAAGGTATATGTTAAGAAAGAGCATTTTAATAGGTTAAAGAAAATAAGTGTTGACAAGGTGTGAGTGGACATACAACTGACAAATGGTGGTGATTCGGAAAAGAGCTGAGTATAAGATTATGTGTGATTATAAAATAAAATATAGTGCTAGAAACAGTATTGTGATATACATTTGGCTGTCTTCCCGTTAATATCGAAGCTATTAGAGCCCCTTTCGTTTTTTTTTAAATATTTTTTCCCCAGTTATTATAGGGTCTTGATTAGGCTTCGTATATTAGCGAATTGTCTAGTTTGCTTGTAATAGGATTTCTGGGTAGGAAGTGAAACCAATTCAACGTTCGTAACACGACTTAAAGAGGTATTTTGCGTGAATAGATCAGCTTCAATACCATAAGTTCGTGGCATCCCACTAAACCATAAGGAGCCGTAATTAAACAAAATGTTCTGCCCTACAGTCATGGGTGGATTGAAGTTATCTCCCCACCTTCATGTTTGCTGGTTAGTAACGCCACCCTCCCTCCTTTTGTGATGTTAGGCTCTCTTACGTTTGTGGTAAGTATGAATACTGCTTTAATCAAAGCCCATAGTTGGAATACACTGTCTCTACTACGTCCATGTTACAAGCAAATCTTGACATCGTCAGCATATAGCAAGACCGATGATGATAGGAGACAAGGAAGGTCATTTACATACAAGAGGAATAGCAATGGCCCCAAAACTGTACCCTGGGGCACTCCACTAAGCACAGTTTCCCAACTAGATAACCTTGAGTTTACCCGAACTCTATGTTGACGCCCAACTAAGAAGTCTTTTATCCACATCAATCAATTGCCTCCAATCCCGACTTTTCTTAACTTATATAACAGCCGGTTGTGAGAAACTTTGTCAAAAGCTTTGCTGAAATCAATGAAGGCTACGTCTGCATGTAACTTTTGGTCCTTAAGAGCGGACCAACTTTCACGAACGACTAATAAGTTAGTGAAACAAGAGTAACCTATTCTGAAGCCGTGCTGCTTCTCCGAAAGAATCCGCTTTTTATCAAGATACTTAAACAGCTCCTTCCGAATAATTTTTTCTAAGATTTTAACAAACACACTAGTTAAGCTAACGGGTCGGTAATTCTCAGGTTTATGTTTCGTACCTGTTTTGTAGACAGGATTTACTATGGCGTTCTTTCAGTCTTTTGGTAAACGACCCTGCGTTACGGATAGATTAAAGCATATACTCAAAGGATTCGCAGCGAAGTTAGATAATCCTTTCAGTAGCCTAGGATGCAATTCATCGGGTCCCGAGGATTTGCCTATGTTAAGCTTATTTAGCAGACCAAAGACATCGAGTTCTTTAATGGTCACGCTATCCAGTGTATGTATGGGGGGATCTGTATACGCTGACGGGAAGGGCGCTTCTATGGTATATACGTTGCTAAAGTAGTTCGAGAAAACTTGAGTCTTACCAAAGTCGTCCTCCACTAATGATGAAGCAGTACTGTTGTAGTGGCATTGGACCATAACCACACAATCCTCAAAGCTGAATACGAGATTATTCAGAAAATAGATATTCAATATTTAACGCGAAGAAATACCTAAGAATGGAGAAGGAATTAGAGTTGATCGAACGGCATGGCTCGGCCATGCAGGCGTGGTCTCTGCTGAATGTTACCTTATATCTTCTATTCATATTAAATATATTGTTCCTTCTCTAGACTAACCTTGTTCTACATCATGTATTGGTAATTGATACGATACAGTGAGTTGGTGTAGTCGATGGTGTGACTTCCACGTAAGATCTTATAGATTAGGCAGTTATATCATGACAAATCTACAAATTTAGGATTAGGTCTATTATTATAGCAGTACTAATATTATAGTAGACCATAATTCTACACTGTCTCCCCATAGACTACGGAAAAATACTTGTTTGACAAATAACCACACATAGTTTTATAGTGAGAGCTGTTTTAATCGCTTCTCGGACTTCATGAAGAGTCAGTGGAGCAAGACGCTGCCATTAGGAATCACGAGCATTTTATCACTTAACAGAGAAAAATATGAAATGCTACATCTACATAAGATAAGAAATTAAATGGCCAACTTCTGGCTAAAATTTTGTTATTCTACAGTTAGGTCATTGTTATTGCTTAATGAATTACTTCTGACTAACACAGACTACTGATATTTGTTTGTTCAGACAGAAACTATGTGCACCTGTTCATGTTAAGTCCATTGTCTATTTTTTGCATACACTGTAGTTAGCGAGCGAGTGATGTATAGAATGTAAGACAGAAACATTATTTTTGTTCATTATTGATGCAAGATTCCAGAAATTGTTACTTTAGATCTAACCAACGAACAATTATCAATATATGCAATCATCTGAAACTTGTGGATCTTGTTGATAGTTTCTTATCTAGTGGAAGTGTCCGTTCACACTTAGATTGGGTAGTTAGTAGAAGGTCAAGCGGACTGTTCTCTGTGCCAAAGAATGGCTGCACAAATACCAGCATCACCATATGCCTTACTATTTTTCTACTGATGGACATGTCAGACGTTGATACTCTGTGTCTGAGTCATTTGTTGTTGTGTCCGTACATTTGATCACCGCACAAATCCCCTTTTTACAGGACAATTTAGTACCTGGAATGCAATATCTGGGTATGTTATTTGATTCCTGCATTGTTTTAAGCCTTTCCATTATAAAAAACTTAAAAATGTCACATATATCTGAATTTTGACAATGTCTTTAGGAGGAACACCCGTGGGATAGAGGGAGATGACAAATGATCTGTAGAAACGGGGATGATAAAAGACAGACATTTGGACTAGGTGTTCAAAGATTTTAGTTTGTAAATATTGAGACACTACTGAATTACTAATTAGATCATTAGTAGTATGAGACTGAGAAGCGGTTGTTAGAACTTTAGCATTGATATGTATTCTTCGCTCTAATATATCGAAAGTGGCGATATTAGGTTTTTACTCATATCATGATACAGAACAGTTAGGAACGCAAGGTAATATTTTAAACACGTAAAATTTTCAAAATACACCAGGAAATATAATTTCCTCACAAAATAAAGAATCAAACTAATACTTGAGTTATAATGTGTTGACATTACTAAGAGGCACACATCTAGTCATTAACCAATTAGCTTCAGCTGTTAAACAACTACTGTAAAACCGATGTCGCTTAGTGTTTCGTTTGATTTGTAAAAGGATTTTA